TCAAGTTGCATGAGCTGTTTATATATTCTATATTCCGTATATAGTCCCGAAATTAAACCTTTGTCAATCACATCATTTGCAAATATTTTCTCCCATTCCATAGGTTGTCTTTTTGTTTTGCTTATTGTTTCCTTTGCTGTGCAAAAACATTTAAGTTTAATTAGGTCCCATTTGTTAATTTTTTGCATTTATTTCTGAGAGACATTTTCTTAAAGAAGATATACATATGGTAAATGAGCATATGAAGAGATGTTCAACCTCACTAATCATTAGGGAAATATGTCATTACACAATGAGATACCATTTCACATCCATTAGAATGACTCCCATTAGAGAGAGAGAGGAGAGAGAAAGAAGAATAGGTATGGACAAAGAAGTGGAGCAACTGCAAACTTCATGCATGGCAGTGGAAATATAAAGTGATATAGTTGCTGTAGAGATCAGTATGGCAGTTTCCAAAACAAAATGAAAATTAAAGTTCCACTTCTGGGTATATACCCAAAGAAATTAAATGTGTGGTCTTGAAAATGTATATGAACATATCTGAACATGTTCATAGCATCATTATTCATAATAGTTAAAACATGGAAGCAACCCAAGAGTCTTTCCAGAAATGAATGGATAAGCAAAATATGGTATAGACACACATGTAATTAAATATTATTTATCTTTTAAAGGGAAGGAAATGTTGACATATGCCACAACATGGATAAACCTTTAGGATATTATCCTAAGTGAATAAGATAGTCAAAAACACAAACCTTATGTAATTCCATTATAAGAGGTACCTAGATAGTCAAATTCATAGAGACAGAAAGTAGAATGGTGTTTGCCAGGGATGGGAGAAGGAGGTAATGGGAAGTTATTGATTGATGAGTATGCAGTTTTCATTGTGAAATATGAAAAGAGTTCTGAAGATGGATAGTTGTGATGGTGGCACATTAATGTATTTAATACACTTAAAATGTACTTAATGACATGTACACATAAAATAATTAAAATGATAATTTGACATTATATGTACTTTTTTAAACATTTTTTATTGACTTATAATCATTGTACAATGTTGTGTCAAATTCCAGTGTTCAGCACAATTTTTCAGTCATTCATGGACATATACACACTCATTGTCACATTTTTTTCTCTGTGATTTATCATAACATTTTGTGTATA